GCCCCATAGGGGACCGTGTTTTTTTTTGTTTTTTTTTTGAGGAAAACCCCCGAGTCCTGCGGCTTTCGCGCACAGGACTAGGGGGGAAAAACCTCAGGAAGGGAAGGAAGTCGGGTCGAGGGACAAGAAAAACGCACAAGGGGGTAAGGTGAAGTTAAACGCGAAGAAGCTAAGATGAGTTAAACGCAAAAGGGACAAGTTAAACGCGAAAGGTCTGCCCTTAGTCAAGATTCACCGCAACGAAAGACCGCGGGCGTAGCACCCAGCGAACCCTTGCGGGCACGCCGGGACATCCGGAAGGACGATATTTAACGCTACAACCTCCGTCCCTTCCCACGGGCAAGCCCAGTGGGTTAGACGTAAGGAACCACGCCCGCCGCCGGCGGCGGGCCCCGTTAGCCATCGATCCCCGCGCAAAATGTCTCCGACAGAGGGTGACTTTATACTAGCGGGTGCTCAATAGCACCCGCACCTATCCCAAGTGAAGTGACCCCCAAGCACAAGCACAAGTAGGACTTTACCCAAAGTCAACGGACTACCCCTCCGACCTCCCCACGGACAAATAGGATCGTCTCTACCCACACAAGTGCCCAAGGGTCAAGACATGTTGGAGCGTTTTTAGCAAAGCGAACAAATTATACTAAATACGCGAGAGCTAGACACCTGGCTAGATTCACTATACGAAAGACCATGGCCGTAGATACCCTAAGGGGGCTCAAGGCCCCCGTCGGGAGACCCATAAGGTCCTGTTGCGGCCACAACTTGGGCCACCAACCACTGAGCAAGCTCAGCGGAAGAGGCGGAAGGGCAACCCCCGACACCATGGTCTTAAGTCTAGCTGCACTAACCGGATGACTACTCTTATATGACTACTTCAATTAATATGCTCGACCCGACCAAGGAAATAGGGAAAGTAAGACAAACACAAGAGCGAAAGAGGATGATGAAGTGTTAGAAGAAGGTAGCGAGGAAGATAAAAGAGGCGAACGATAGAAATAAAGAAGTCGAGGAGTAAAGAAGGAAATAATTAAGAAAGAAAGAAAAAAAGTAACGTAAAAAAATGATATAGTGACAACAAAACAAGGATTAGAAGTATAGATATAAAGAGAAAATAGAGAATGAAAGGTGTAAATAAGAACTTAAGAAATCAAGAAGAAAGAAAGTGATTGAACAAACGAGAAATAAAGAACTGAGGAAGTAAGGAAGTAAAGAGTTAAAGTGATAAGGTGGCAATAAGATATAGTAATACCAGGGTACGAATTAGAATTACAGAGGTAATGAATAAAAAAAAAATAATAAAAACTGAAATTAATAACTAAAGAAGGAAATAAATAATTAAAGATACTAAGAAAGAGGGAAATAAAGAGTTAATGGAGAAACGAAGAAGGAAAAAACGAATAAGACGAGAATATCCAAGAGACCAGTATAGGAGACCGGCTCGAGGAAGAATGAGCGCTCCGAGCTCGTGCACGCATTCACGTCCCTCCCACCCGTTCGGCTACCCCCACCAGGTCCTCGTTCCCACTCCAGCGGCAAAATTTTCAATTTCCACTATTATACTAATTTTTCAGCTTCTACATCTTCCAGGTCGTATTTTTGGTCCATTCCCTTATATAAAATTTCATGGAAGATATTTCCCCATGAAAAATTTTCTCGAAATACATTTTCCTTGCATAAAGCTATTTCTATTCAAAATTCCTCGAAATGAAATTTCCTCTAATAAAATGTATCTAAATCTAATATATTGGCTATATAGTGCCGAGACTCTTTAGCGAAAACATTTTATCTAATCCACTTTAAGGAAAGCGGTTTTTCGAAAAACGACGGAAAATCTGTAATGAGCCAGTCCTATACTTATTACTGATCCTTATGATGCTCTAGTTATAATGGATCGTTGATAAGTAAGCATAACAAGCAAAACCAATCGCACTCGTATAACTGTCTGTGATGGGTTTGGAAAAATGAAAGTTTATCTGTGGGAAATTTTAATCAAGGAAATTACTTCGACGGGAACATTTTCCAGGGGAAATTATTTCAAGGAAATTTCATCTGGCAAACATTGAACAGGGGATAGGACGCCTAGAACTATAATTTTCGGTCTCCACGTGTTCCTCCAGTACCTTCCAAGTGCATTTGCCCTTCTCGCCCTGATCCTGGTATCCTTAAACAAAGAAATCCAAAGGATTGGTCTTGCGTGATCAAAAGTTTGGCTTAATCAATCAAGACGCATACGATGACCGTATAATTAGCATTTTATTTTTATAACATATAGATAATATTAGAATATCATTAAAACTACAAGTATTATGCACAACTTCGCACGGCCAGGAATGTGCATACAATTTCATAAGTGCTAAAAGATCGATCGCTCGATCAATATATCTCAGGGATAAACAGCACTGGAAACGAAATCACACGTTTCGCATAAATGCCTTTATTCTGGACACATGTATTATCTGCATATATCGAGCATAGCGCTAAACGCATACTGGTTTTTTTTCTCTTAAATCCTTTTCTCATAAACGAAGAGCAAAATAAGTAATTACATTATCAGTGCATTACTCCAATTTTCTAAATGAAATACGAAAAGATCAGTTCTTGGGCGTTTAACGCTTAGGCAGGCTAGTGCACACTTTATTTATTCTTCATCCTTTCTCTCATTCTCTTTCCCTCTTTTTCTCTCTCTCTCTCTCGCTCTCTCTCTTTCCCTCGCATACACACAATCTCTCATTCTCACTCTCACTGCACATTGCGAACATCACATTGCACTTTGCATTCTCAATAAACTCCGATAACGTTTTAAGCCAAACCGGAAGTGGCTAAAGATATTAAATGTCTACACGTTGCGATTTTGTTCTATGTACGATGAAAGAACGTATTATATATATATATATATAAATTAGGCGAATATCCACCAATCAACATCGACACATAAAGAGTGTTTGTAGAATCGATATCGAGTAGACAAGTATGACCGATCTATGTTTAAGTTGAAAAAGAATGACGATATTTCTGTACTTGAGAGCCATAGCGTTAATACATAGTGTTTTCCATTATAATATAGTTTTCTAATATGATCTGTTCGCTGATCTCTTACGTTCCTTTAAAAACTGCTGAGTTATCCCACCAATCACTTATATGCGATTTTACTTTAACTATCTATTATAATCGTTTGTCTATTTATTTGTTACAATGTTTATAATGCGCAGCTGGGATTCGTTAAGTAGCTACTGCATACGGAATACACACACAAAACCAAAGATCGTTCCTAGTTGCTATATTCGCAAAGAAAAAGCACTTCCGTCATATTCGTAATCGCTATTTCGCAGGATCCTTCGTTATCATTCGATTAGCGCGATCGTTGCTCTCAAATTGAACTTTCTTGAGGTACTCGTAATTGGCGACTGATAATACAAGTGACTCTGCTTCTCTTTACAAGACTGAAAAAACGCTTGAGAATTACAAATAAAAATTTGATAGAAATACGTGCAACTGTTTCTAAGGGTGTTTCAATTGGTCTATCGACAAACTGGTTCATCAAATACGTGTTGTATATATTTATGTATTAAAAAAAAATAAAAGAGAAAGAATAACGTGAAGAAGCACCAATACCAAATTCGAAATGACGATGGCTCAATGTTTGCTCGCTGATGGAATTAACAATCTACAGCTTTCAGGTACAAATCTTAATAATACATATAACATCTCCATTCAAATATTTTCATCGAATTATCTCTATGTAATTTCATGTACAGGCTTTTAAACCCCTCCCTTTATTCCTCCTTACTCATCCATTCGCCTTTCTTTCATCCTCGATATAATTCGCTCTTCCGTAATTCGCCAAGTATTCTAAACTCCTCGTCACGGAGTACACAACACTTCTTTTCACTAGTGAGTTTTGTAACTATGCTAAACCTATACTAAAACTGTTTATCTTACATACTTCTTTTTGAAAGGGAACTAAAGCGAATCGAAAATAAGCTAAAGAATTAAGGGTATTAAGAAAATATATGTTCAAGCACAGTGGCGTACTGCGTTTGTTTAAATCATTATCATGTCACTCGTTAATCGTGACGTGGATAAATATGCATTGGAATTTTTCTATGTATCTTCATTTTCAAATATATCGCACGTACTATCAATCGTAATGCTTTGTTTGCCACGTGACATTATAAATAGTACTTGTATTTGTATTTACGGCTCAACTCCAAGTGCAAGTCCCAGTCAAGATGGATTAACACGTATATTTTTCATGAGCTCAAATTCGCGAGGTGAATAATTTGCAAGTCTTAACCGCCATCCCTGTAGACGGCGCCACCGTGGATACCGGACTGGACACCTGTCATTGGAATGACCACGAGTACACATGATTTTACGCAGATATGAGAGCTTAAATTTTGGAAATAATGGAAGCGGTAGAGGCGAATAAAGAAAAGTTAATGCTTTAGAGATACACAAAGTGAAAAACGCCACTGTCGTAATCAATGTTAAACATTGATGATAACAAAAGCCGAAATTAATAGAAACGAGAGAAAAATGGTAAATCAAGAATGACTTAGGAGTACTGAACGCGGATGTACGTAGTCAAGTATGTAAGAGTGACATTTATTCAGGACTGTACGTTCGCCAAACGTGTCGGTGTTGTCGGCTGCAAATCCATAGTGCGACATACCCATCCAGCAATATCCACATTCTCCAGCTCAGCTTTCTTAATCCACTCGTGATTCTGAAAGAAATAAACGATTGATATTTCATTGAAATAAATATTCATTCTATAATCTGTATTGAGTCAAACTCTACACTCACCATAAGAGTCTTTAAATCCGCCCTTTCGGCTGGATTCTTTTTCAGACAACGATCCACGAAGTCTGTGAAGGAATTACTGAAAATTCCAGCAGGCAGCTTAGGGGGTGGTTCGTTCACTATGTAATCTAGCAACTCGAAAATCGCCATTGGTCGTGGGCTGCTTGCGTCTTTAAAATAAACAAAGGAATTACTTTGGTAACATTCTACAAAGATAATATTCAGTGTATGATCGACATCCAGCAGTATATTGCTGGATGAAAGTATTTTTTTTTTTTTTTAAGTAAAACTATTCTATACACACTATGAGCCGGCGACTGTGAAGTTGGTGTGGATACACTGTTCGTGGCAGTACTCTCTGCCGGAGATTGTCCAGATTGCGATCCGAATATCGACGCCAGGGTTTTTGCATCAGGTGGCGGAATTGGATACATTCCTATAGCCATTTCTACTAGCGACAGCCCTAAGGACCAGATGTCACTCTGTACTGAATAATGAGTACCTTGCAGTCTCTCCGGCTGAAAGTGTAAAAGAATATATTTTTTTTTATATTTAAGTTAGACTGAAATAATGAACACTTGTTATATCTAGGTACTGACCGACATGTAGCTTCTGGTACCGACGAAGGAATTTGCCATGGAATCAATCAATTGACCAGAAACACCAAAGTCACAGATTTTTATTTCACCAGCACTGTTTACCAGGATGTTACTAGGTTTTACGTCACGATGCATTATCGCGTGCTTGTCGCGCAGGTAACTCAAGCCCTTCAGAACCTTGAATATGAAAAAATAAAGAAGAAATGAAAACGTCACATCCAGTCGACCGTGAAACAATTGATGGTATTATAGAATAATTAATCGATATATGTTAAAATAGCGATTTAACCGCAATGGTTAGAATATCATTACCTGTGTGAAATAATTAATATACGTAAAATATGTCCCGACCAATGGGGAGAGCTTCGCATATGACAGCAAAAGCGATATCTTCAATGCACATGAAAAAGAAGTTGATAGAGGATGAGCTCAATGAGCTGCATCATGAATTTGACACGAATGATCATACAATTCCACTCGTTGATCTTTGCTTTAAACTCAATACTAGTCTTGATGCAGGCTTGACAAATGAGGATGCTAGAATGATTTTATTGAGGGATGGACCGAATGGCTTAACACCATCAAAAGTAACACCGGAGTGGATTAAGTTTTTAAGATGCATGTGTGGTGGCTTTGCTGGTCTGCTTTGGTTATGCGCAGTGCTGTGTTTTATCCTATTTTTCATAAATTATTTCCTCGATCAACATGATGATGAGTCTGTAGAATGGCTCGGTGTGATCATTGTGATAATCTGCTTAATCTCTGGATTCTTTGCTTATATACAAGAAAGTAAGAACTCCAAAGTTATGGATTCCTTTAACAAGATGGTACCAACTTATGCTGTGGTTATAAGAGAAGGTATCAGGATGCAAGTGGCTACTGAAAAGGTAGTACTGGGTGATCTGGTAGAAATTCGACTTGGTGACAAAGTGCCAGCTGACATAAGGATAACAAAGTGCGATGGACTTAGAGTAGAAAATTCCAGTCTGACTGGGGAAAGTGTTGCGGTATCAAGAACTGATTATCCCACTGACAATAATCCTTTAGAGACGCAAAACATTGCTTTCTTCTCATGCTTTGCTGTCGCTGGAGAAGGTCGTGGTATTGTTATAGCAACTGGCGACAGCACAATGATTGGTCGATTGGCAGGACTGACTTCACATATACAAAAAACTGAGACTCCCATAGCCAAAGAGATCCAACACTTTGTTCATATAATAACTTTTGTTGCACTGATCTGTGGAATTTTATTCTTCGCACTGTCACTTTCATTGGAATTTAATCTCGTGAAAGCATTTACTTATCTGCTTGGAATAATAATAGCCAATGTGCCAGAAGTGTTGCTTGTGACAGTGACAACAAGCTTGACTTTGACAGCGCAGAAGATGGCTGGTAAAAATTGTCTTGTGAAAAATCTTGAAGCTGTAGAAACACTCGGATCCACATCTACTATTTGCTCAGACAAGACTGGGACTCTGACACAGAATAAAATGACGATGTCAAACGTCTGGTGTGGCCACACTAGACATCATTTTCCTGTAGGACAGAAATTGGGAGCCGAAAGAGACATCCTAGTAGAAAAACCAGATTTCAATGTTCTCATCAAGGACGCCACACTTTGTCTACGAGCAGAATTCAAATCTGAACCAGATCAACGCGTACCGATTGAACAAAGGGAAGTTCTTGGGGATGCGTCTGAAACAGGAATTTTAAAATTTTGTGAACAAATACATTACACGTCAAAGTTTCGTTCGACTCATCCAAAGGTCGCAGAATTGCCTTTTAATTCTGCCAGTAAATATCAAATGTCCATACATAAGGACATCGATTGTTTTATAATGATACTGAAGGGTGCTCCAGAAATAATATTGGAATCTTGCTCGACTATTTTGGGTTCTGAAGGTGAAACCACATTGATGACCAGTACTGATTTATCAGCAGTGAGAAAAGCCTGTACAGAACTGGGTTACCTTGGCGAACGTGTGTTGGCTTATTGCGACATGATATTGCCATTCTCAAAATATGAACCAGATTATAAATTTAATACCGAAATGCCCAGTAAATACAATTTTCCAACGGGTGACTATCGTTTCGTAGGATTGGTAAGTCTATTAGATCCGCCAAGGCCAACGGTACCGGAAGCTGTGCAGAAATGTCGGACTGCTGGTATCAAATTAATAATGGTGACCGGTGATCATCCTGTGACCGCCATGGCCATTGCCAAAAAAGTTGGTATCATTGGCGAAGGTCATGAGACTAAATATGAACGGGCAATATTGCAGAGTAAATCGTATTCCCAAGTGCCGGAAGAGGACTCCGTAGCCATTGTTGTGACAGGAAATGAACTAAGAAACATGGAGAGTTATGAACTAGACGATATTATAAGAACCTATGAGGAAATAGTTTTTGCGCGCACATCACCACAACAAAAGTTACTCATTGTTGAAAGTTGTCAAAGACTTGGAGAAGTTGTGGCAGTGACCGGGGACGGCGTCAATGATTCGCCAGCATTAAGAAAAGCAGACATTGGCGTTGCTATGGGTATAACTGGTTCGGACGTTGCAAAAAATGCAGCAGATATGATTTTAATGGACGACAATTTCGCGTCGATTGTCACTGGAATTGAGGAGGGACGATTGATATTTGATAATTTAAAGAAATCTATTACGTACACTCTTACGTCCAGTGTCCCAGAGATGTTACCATTATTGAGCAGTATAGTACTTTCTATACCATTACCATTTGTTATACAAATGGTACTTTGTGTGGATATTGGTACAGATTTATTACCAGCTATTGCGCTTGCTTATGAGAAACCAGAATCTGATATTATGCAACGTGCACCAAGAAATCCACAGCACGATAGACTTGTGAATAAAAGATTGATATCGATGACTTATGGACAGATAGGAATGATTCAGTCACTTGCTGGATTCTATTCGTACTTTGTTATTCTGGCTTATAATGGATTCCTGCCAGCGGACTTGTTTGGACTTAGAACTGTCTGGGAATCCAAGGCTGTTAATGATCTTACTGATTCGTACGGACAGAATTGGACCTACAAAGATAGGATGGATCTGTTGAACGAGGCTCGTACCGGTTACTTTATCTCTATAGTAATAACGCAAATGGTAGATCTTATCATTTGCAAGACAAGAAAGAATTCTATATTTAAACAGGGAATGGGAAATTGGTTTCTCAATTTTTCATTTGTTTTTGAAGTGGTCTTGACAGGTATACTACTTTATGTGCCGGGAACCGAAAAGGTACTGAAGACTATGCCACTTGATGCTCTTTGGTACTGCCCATGTTTGCCTTTCGGAGCTTTTCTATGGATCTATGATGAACTTAGAAGATGGTTTCTTCGAAAGTATCCAGGAGGGATCATAGAGCAGGAAACTTATTATTAATATTCCAGGAGGAATGTAAGAACTGTCAATGTCATTATAACGTTAAGTAATATTAAGAATGGGATTTAGTTAATGGATGCAGTGTGATGTCCAAATATACATAAAATAAAGAATATTGATTACATTGAAATTTCTTCACTTACCGCGGCAGTGATGGTTCCCAAAATCGATTCCGGTATCCTTCCAGCCTTTTTCAATATAAGATCAAGCGATCCACCATCCATATATTCCATACATATGCTGATCTCACCGTCACTGTAAAAATTCATTAATGATATTAATTATAAAATTGTAATAAAACAATGTTCAAAAAGTATATAAAACATACCTATAAAAAGCACCATAAAATCCAACAATATGTGCAAAATTACATTCGTGAAGAACTTTTAATTCTCTTATAATTTGTTTCTTGATTGCGGGCTTAACTTCCAAATGAATCAGCTATAAAAATATGACGTTAACATAACGAAATATTTGAGTATTCCGTTGTTCAATTCTACTTAGTAGAATATTACCTTGCGCGCCATAATAAGCCCATACTTTTTGTGTCTGACTTTCATAACAACACCACCATTACCAGCACCCAATTCCCCAAGTTTTTCAAAATCTTCATTGCACAATTCACCAACTTTTTCTTTCTGTCCCAAAAAACTTTCTAATCTCTTTCTCTGCTCTTCATCCATCTCCAACTCTTCCAATCTTTCTTGTATAGCATCTATACTCATCTTTCCCATTACTCCACTGCAATGAAAGTCAAGTATTATTATGAATAATTATTACAATAAGCCTAAAATCATCAATGACAGCAACAATAAGTCCCTTACTCCGGAATCACAGGTGGTTCTGCATATACTGGTAAAGGTGGAACTGGTGGTGAAGGTGATACTGCCGGTACTGGTTCAATTGAACCAGGTGGCAATGTAAGATTTAATTTATTTTTCGACATTTGTTATACCACAGGGACACCTTCGAGTAGAGAGAACCACTACTTGCCACAGACAAATCAATTAAAATAACTGTTCACCTTGTTTTATGATGAAGCTATAAAAGAGCTTCAAATCTATTTCAAAGTATATAGCTCAAACTAGCATTCCTAATTGTTACGTTACGTTATATTCAATAAAACGCTATACTGGGCTTCCTTTAATTTTATTTAACTTGTCGCCGGGGCTACAAATTTTTTAATGCACTTATTCGTATTACGGATATACAAGATATCACAAAAATGTATAGCTATCTCTAAGAATGTGGTCGAGAATGAACTGTCAAGCACCGATCTGTCAACCAAAAAAGATATCACGTTGACAATACACAGGAACTTTCACAAATTATGTATAACACTTATTGATAGATCACCGAAAGATTACGAGGACGCCGTAAAATCGCGATATTCGACATGTTATTCATAAAAATTGCACAAGAAACACAAAACAAGGTTATATGGATCTCTCCCTGAATCGCAAACGATTCGTGTACAGTCAAATCCCTTAAAGTTCCATAGAGAAACAAAATTATACAATTAACTTTATACGAAATCTCATCGTCATCACAATAACAAATCGTTCTATTATACCGTATTAAAATCAAGCTAACCTCGATCCTACAATATATCTTTTATGTAATTGCCTTAGGAAAATATTTTTTACATCACAAAGTTAAATTGTTGAATTTGTATGGGAGAATAGAAGAAACGGATTGTATATTATACCTTAGTGGAACTTTACTCGAGTAGACTATGGAACACAACCAGCCACGCCATCTGAGAGGAAGTGAATTGTGTTGCACCGTAAAGTTGCGACGTCTTTTCCTACAACATCGCTTAGAGAAGAGGTATGGTCCTTGTTGCAACGTATCACGAATCTAATCACATCCTTGAAATCGTCGCGAATTTCAAAATACGAATGTCACTGGGTTTTAACTAATAATCTGCTGGATAATTTTGTCATACAAAATTTTACTCCCGAATTGCAACAAACGTGAAAAGTCACAAGAAATATGTGTGACACCGGACCACTCGCGACGCTTGTTTCACTGTTCTGTTTCCGTCTGCCGTTTAATACAAAGTGCTTGAATTTTTCTGTGTTTTTCAGGCGGCGATGGGACGTTACTCGAATGAACCGCTGAACACGACTAAGTCGTGCAAAGCGCGCGGCTCTAACTTACGAGTACATTTCAAGGTAAACAATGGTTATTTGGTTAAAGATTGTTAAACTAACCTCACTTTACGCTCGTAGAACAGGCATGTTTATACTTTCTTAAAATTTGAATGATTCGAATTATTGCAACGGTGTAAATTGATAGCTTCGTTTTGTCACGATTCGGAAAGAGTTTGACACTACTGGATGTAAAATATTATCTATTTATCAATGGTAGATTGAGAGACGAATTTGTCAGGTTCGGAGACGTACTGACACGTGCTATTTATTAGGGATGATAATATTGGTCATCACAACAATGTTTTATTCTATAGAATTTGTGACAGACGTTTTTGATTATTGCTTCTCTTGTTTTTAAAGTAAAATCTGTTTGTTTACATTCACAGAACACTCATGAAACTGCTCGTGCCATTAAAAATATGGCTCTTCGGAGGGCACAGAAATACCTGAAAAATGTGGTAGACCACAAAGAGTGTGTTCCATTCCGCAGGTTCAATGGTGGTGTTGGCAGGTGTGCACAGGCGAAACAGTTTGGAACCACCCAAGGTGATTATATATTCATTAAAATTTCTCTTTTTGAAAAATGCTGTATGTTAACTTTAATAATATAATACTCCAGGTCGCTGGCCCAAGAAGTCTGCAGAATTTTTGCTGCAGCTTCTTAAAAATGCTGAAAGTAATGCAGATTATAAGGGTCTCGATGTGGACCGTCTTGTAATCGATCACATTCAAGTAAACCATGCTGCTCGCCTCCGTAGGAGAACCTACAGAGCTCACGGTCGCATTAATCGTACGTATGGATATTTAATGCTCTGCGCACTATTTTCATTGATCCTAATAGACTTTTATGTAATCATGGAAATTCTTTCGTAGCATACATGAGTTCACCATGTCACATCGAAGTGGTATTAACTGAAAAGGAAGATGTCGTTGCGAAAGCAGCAGAGGAGGAACCATCGAAAAAGAAGCTGAGCAAGAAAAAGCTTGCCCGTCAAAAAGAGAAGATGATGAGGGAATAAAGTCTTTGTCTATCTTAATACAAATAATGAGACCAATTGTATACTTGACCAATAAAAGTTACAATGTTCTCCAATCGTTTCAGTTTACTAATAATTCCTCATTCTCACAAAATCCAATAATCTTATTCATACCAACTAATTCCCTTAGACATTTTTAGTTCATGCAAAAAATGCATACTGCCTACAGTATACAAGATGCACTTTATACAATACACAAGCACAAAGTATTTATAGCTCTACTATCTCCCCACTACTGTTACCATATTTTTTCTTAGTTATCAAAAAGGTAAAAATAAAAAGAGAAACAAGTGTTTATAGCTTCACGTGAGGCAACCAACAACAATTTATTATACAACTACGTTTGACGAAAACGTGAAGAAAGTCAGTGATGGCACTGCGAGAAAGTTGCAGATCGTAAACAGATAGAGTTCGCTTTAAAACGTTGCCAGCTTGCTCAATAAAATCAATCCTGATTACTTTTAATAGCATTCACTCAATCGAATATTATACATTACATTAAACAATAGTTGAAACGAATAAACGATCTTTTAGTTCCTTGAACATACAATTTACGTGTCTGATGTCCATCAAGTCAGTCCATAGCTTTCTTTGTATAACATCTCAATAAATCACAACAAAACTACCAAAAAATGAACGGACAACAATACCTCACTCGTGTAACCGTACGCAACAATACAATATCCGCATACTTTCATTGAACAAGTACAAGAACATAGTAAACAAAAAATCACATGGATGTACATCTACAGTGAGTATCACTCAATTGAAATTATGAGCAGAAACAAATTCTTTTTATCATACAATAGAGGCAATTGAATGAAAAATACCTCCAGGTATATAAACAAAAAAGAATAATATACAACAATAGAGATCTTTTGCAAGAAAGGTCTATTTTATTCTCCTAAAAGTTCAAACTGCTTTTAAACACGAGATCTTCGATTAGATTATATCGTGTAAGTTCCGCAAAATGTTCATCCATGAAAGTCATTTATCTTGCCTTCAAGATCTTATTAATAAACAATCAAAATAAACGAATATATCCTGCTTGACCGTACAAATATGTATTCATATAATATTATGGATTAACTCAATTAATCCGATTAACAAGTCATAATTAGTCTCTACTCACTACGTATATTAGTAATCATCAGGTATACAACGGCTATCGTCTTATATTTTTCTTTTTTTTTTTTTTCATTTTCATTAAATCTACCACGTGTGACTGTTGGTGCGAGCTTGAGATGCTGTGTGGTGTTATCTTAAAATTTGTAATATTTAACACAAATGCATTATGACTATACAAGGTTTCTTCCTTAGTAGACATTATACCGGGGTCAAGAAAGTGGTTCGCGCGTTGTGTTCGGTAAGAATAAGCAGAGCAGACCGCCTCCTGAAAGAAAAAAGAAACAAATCACAAAAAAACATGTGAAATTTATCCGTAACTCTAAACAAAAAAATTTTGAACTTATTGTATAAAAAAAAAATAACTCACCAATGAGAAGTGCGGCAACGATGAAGGTGGGTGCTGGACAATACATATCCAAGAGTTGTGCTATAACGATATTACCGATGATACCACCGAGACGTGCTGCCACCATGGAAATGGCAATACCGGTAGCACGCAAGTTTGTCGGGAAGACCTCAGTGATAAGACAGTCAAGAGCTGCGTTACCGCAGCTGATAACACCACTGAAGAAGGCGGATACAATCAGATTGTGATACTTGTTGTACACGAAGTACAAACCGATGGAGCAGAGACCGGATGACAATGTACTGAAGACTAAAGAATAAAAAAGGAAAATAATTTTATCGTGACTTATTGAAATTTATATTTTTTTTTTTTCAATTGGGAAAGGCATACTGACCAAGGAAAAACTTGCGTCCAAGACGATCCATTCCAAGTACAGCAACGATATTTGCCGGTATCGCAGAGGCGACGGTGATCAAAGAATCTATAAAAACGGAATCGCTAATCTTGGCGGAACAAACGTTCGAAACGCTGTGCGATCCCTTGTTAACGACGTAATCGGTGACCTCGCAAATGGAGGCGACCTGATTGGGATGATCGCGATTGAATTCGTCGAACCGATTGAACAGTTCTGGGAACCACATCATGAGACCGTAATAACCAATGTGGAAAGTGAAGTTGATTACAATCGAGATGATGGTGAAGCGAAGGATTGGCGAGACGAAAAGCTGTTTGCTGTTGTCCATGATGTCGCCGAGCATTATTTTGTATTTGTTTTTTTCCACGACGCCAGGTTTCAGGGGTTCTGGCGCAATGTAGTCTTCGAGGATGAGCTCTTTTACCTTGAAGAAAAAATATATTGTTAATTAAAAAAAAAAACAATGAAAAATGGTCGATCCACGTAATCATTATGAATTTCAAGATATTCATCCCTTATTTATTAATTTTTAAAGATATCTTACAGTGTACGTGTCACGAGGCTTGCCGGTGTTGATGGCATAGATCCCGCGGAAGATGTCCAAGGCCTCCTCGTGACGACCGCGAGATAAAAGATATTTCGGAGATTCAGGTAGCAGCAGAAGCAGCCCCGCCACTACGAAGGAGGGAACAGCGCATATCAGCAGGAAGATTCGCCAAGAGTTATATGTGAACGCAGCGCTCACGATACCGGTAACATGAGGGATGACCAACCAGGCAAGACCTGAAAGAAAGAAAAAATCATCATCAAATATAAAAAATAATTAATCCATAGCATTGAAAGACATTGCAGAAAAAAAGATCATCCAAAACAGGTAACGCGGAGGTCGCCCCAGATATCAATCCAATAAAGGTTTAACCTCGTTCAAATTCCAATTAACCATAAACTGCACGATCAGGAGTTATTGCGCATCGAGTATACGTACCAGCCACGAAAAGATTTCCAAGAGTCCAAAAGGCGGCCATGAATGACAACATGGAGCCACGTTTGGACTTTGGCTGGAATTCGGCAAAGTAGGACCAGATGACAGGTCCGCTACCACCGAGGCTGAAATAAATATTAGAAGTACCGTTAGAAGTTGATCTTTATTTGAGAGTCGAAGCAAAAAGAAAAAAGTCCTCAGGACAAACTGCCAAGACAATTTTCATCGATATTATCAGCCGTTATACTCACGCAGCGCCGTTGAGGAATCTGAAGAACATGAAGAGTTCATAAGATTGACTGAAGCTGGAGGCTACGATCGCCAGGCCGTTTATGAATGAAATGGCGATTAGTACCTTGCGACGACCCAGGGCGTCTGCCACTGAGCCCCACGCGTAAGCACCGGCCATCATGCCTATGAAGATTATGGAGTTGAGCCATCCCTTTGCTTGTGTATCGAGCTTAAGGTCACATTGTGCACTTGGCAGGATGAAGGACATAGAAATTACGTCCATCTCCTCGCTCGTGCTGACGAACCCGCATACTGTGAGCAGGAAGTAGTGAAACTTGCCATACTCTGTGGAAAAAGAAAAAGGGATATTTTTATCACTGAAAACAGGAAATTTCAACCGGCGGACAGTTAACGGCTCTGTGTTACGTATTTATATCATAATGATTAAGTGCGAAGTGTGACGTTGGACATTTTGATATTAGCTAATTAGTAACAGTTTGATATTAGTAGATAGTAAGTAGTTGGTTAAGTAACCAGTGATATTTTTCATTTTCTTCCTGGTAATAGTTGCGCAATAAATTTACGATAAATTTTTATTACTATAACTAAAATTAACGAACATAGAAACGTACAGGATTTTTCGTTTGGTAACAGCGCTATCGTTATTATTTCGATCCGTGAGCAGTTTCTGGTGGTTATGAAAATTTCATTCGTCCGCAAAATGTCTTGTTTTCATATCCACGGGAGGTTTGTCAGTAAATTTGTATAATTGCTTCGTAAAAAAATCACAGCTGTTCGTATTAGCTCACTGACGTAGTATGCCAATTTGTTTTTATTAATTTTTTTGTTTCTTCGCAAACAACTGATACTTTCCATGTCACCGTTAAAGTCTGGTGTCTAAATTGCCATTATTAATTCAACAGATCTAAAGGATCTGATCGAATTCCTGTATGCTGAACGATAGGCATATTTATAAATTTTTGCCATTTTAATTTCACCGTTCATTAACTTTCTTGATGTTTGACGAAATTATGAAAACAAAATTTCAACTGTATCCACAGGCTTGAAAATTATGCAATCTGAATTTATATTTGAATTTCTTTTTATTTTCCGTTATTATCGCTATGGTCGATCTAACGAGACAGAACCGAATATTTTGCACGATTTTGTCTTTAGAATACAATTTTATTGGATTTATAATTATTTGGCCGATTTAAAAAAAATATTTACTCGAAAATCGTTCAACTAATTTGATAACGATTTTCTTTCGCATTCCCATGTTCAACGACTGCGAAGCACCTTTTACATAAGTAGACGATCGGCTGCCGGTTTAACTGTCCGATTTACATATTCGTACAAATATTATATATGAGAGTTTGCGGTTTGATGTGCGGACACCGAAATTCAATGTAGAGTGATAATACGTCGTGTAAATAGCACTAATGGTTTGCCAAGAAATTCAATTGGAAAAAAATAGCAATTCGATAATTAGCAGCCTGTCCACGGTCCACATGTCTGGCACGTGAGAAATATGTGATTATTTATTTTTTATTTTTTTTTTTTAAAACGGCTAAACGGTAAAAATTCCTACTTTCTAAATAAAAGTGGGACTTGGATGTCTGTATAAAATTTTTCATAAAAAGACAACGAAATTGTTAGAAAAGTTCTCATTTTCAATTTCACAAAATTTAGGAACACGGTAAACGGTATTAATCTAACAGCGACGGGTCGTTCGACCATTTCGAAGACAAAAATATGCTTATACAAAATGTTCGGTACGTTCAGTGTTAAACGATTTGTTATATTATTGACAAATCGTCACTGGGAAAATACAAAAATGTAAATGAAAAGTAGCGCGAAAATACGCGTTGATAGGTGGACGCTAATGGAGGCGTTAAAGGTAAAATAAGATATTGCGAAATAACATGCGTTAGAAATTTCCATATGTGCGTGAAACGATGGGAGAAACGTTCGATAGAGATCGATTGTTTATACGACTGATTAGAAGACATGAATCGATTGCCTCTCGTAAAAGTACAAAGTATGTCAGACGGGCACATATTTCACTGACCACCGAGAAAGGTCAATCCATTGATGGTAAGTGAACGAAGTTTTTGATAATTTTAGTGAAAATACATCAAAATTTTTTTGGGGGATTTTCAAAATAAAAAAATTTCCTTTCCTACTCACCGGTAAGTTCGATAGCCTTTTCGAAGTCAGCCTTTACGTACGCTCCTTTTTCGGGGTCAGGGTGTTTACCCTTTGACCCAATACCTGTACAATAAATTGTTTTTGCATTAATTACCGCAAAGTGACAATTCGAAAAATAATTTTTGAAATTTTCAAAAATACCCACCGGCAAGTTCTAGGTCCTTTGAACCGCAGCCGTTTAGGCGATCGTCCTTTACATCACACTCTGAAACACAAAGGTCACAATTAGCAACCGATGCAATCGTTATCGAGTGTTATCAATTTTGTAAATCCATTTTATTCGTTCCTTACGAATATAACTATTGGGAATTGCGATAACAGAGGTGTATAATACGTTGTGAATATTGAAAAAAATACCATACAATTTTACAAAAATAAATATTTCGCGATCAACCCTCTGACGTCAATAGCTAGTTATAATTTTAAATTTTTTTTCCGCACCTACATATCTACACTGAACATATTCTTGTGCACTGAAATAGGGCGGTACTGGATCAAAGTAATTCGGTCCAGTGGGAACTGAATAAAATTTCGAGAAGAAGATCACAAGGGTTGTCACCTGAAATTGACATGGATATAAGTATAAAGATAAACAGATAGCAAATATCGCTATTCTCGACGCATGATTCCTAGTATTTAAAAAAAAAAAAAAAAATTAAGAAAAAATTAAATGACGTAACGAAAACAAAAACTCAGACAAGGTGCCTCGCTGACCACGTGGCTAAAGCAAAATATTGATTTACAAACAAAGCAACGACCCTGAAGAAATTCTCAAAGTCCAAGGCGTCTCGCAAAAGAGGACACGGATGATCTCTCCGAATTGTCTATTTTAAATAATTAGGCAACAACGTGAATAGAGACCCCCCCCCAAAAGTTAAGCACGGTAAACAGCAACGTTACAAAAATAACGACTCGTTCGTAAGACCTTCAAATCCGGTTTAGAACAAAAAAAAATTACGTGCATCGCGTGTCACAATGTTCTCCGTAAAAGTGACGAACCATAATTGTTGCCACCGTTGAAGCATTAAAACATCGCATCCTCATCGCCGTTACAAGAATGTTTGTGATCATTAAAAAAAAAAAAGAGTTGATAATCACAAAATTGTGCTATATCGATAAACAAAAAAAAATGCATACAACTAAAATCGTTGATTTCATCAGTCAACAAAAACAATCTAACCACGCCCCCGGCCCCTCGTATGTTAAAAAAATTTGTATCTTTTCATACAACAACAAGACAACAATGTATGCCGCAATAGAAATCCATCGCTAATCAAGATACTCACTATGATTGTGCTTTGAGTCAGGTTCACCTTCTACCATTCTACGATGTCGGCGCGGGTGTGTAAGTCTGTCTTGTGTAAAGAGTCAAAATTTTTGTCCTAGACTCGGGTTGGCACTCCTGGCGTATTTATCGGCGAACACTTCCTGGCGAAATCTTCCTGCTGACCTGGCGCTGCTCTGCTGCTGCTGCTCGACGGCGGGGCTCGGTTCTGCACTCACTCGCAAGCTGCAACCCAAAGAGGAATAACTTGCCAGACGTAGAATCAATCATTGTGACGTAAGTGTCACAACGCAGCGATTGTTGCCACGTACGATGATCAAAAAGTAGTAAATAAGTCGGTTAGAAATTGGCGCGAGAGAGAATTACCGTTGTTACGATTGCAATTGGCGCTGTGTATTTTTTTGTTGTTGCATTTTTATATGGAAACCGCAAGGCCCAATCAATGCTCCCGAAGCATTAAATCAATGCGCGAGGGTTAAGTAGGGTCAATTTGCAATAACTTTGATAAGACGCGTGGGCAGTTTTGTAACGTCAAGATAACCGGGACACAATGGGAAACTTTAAGATATAGGAACGACCATTGCCGTGCATACAGCTGTTAGGTTGGAGCAACGTTTTTTAATGTTCTTGTCAGATCAGTCCGTTTTTATTGTTGCCGAAGAATTTCTTGTATTACAAGATCCTTCGCGAGGGGGTCCATACTGTTTGGAGACATGTGAATTGGTACAGCATCAGCTGGTCGATTGTAATGCTGAGTTATATAGAGAGGAGCTGGCTGTATGGAATTGGTAGTACTCTTTTCTAATAAGCCTATTCCCACCGGTCTATTATATGCATATTAGCGTAACTAGCCTCTTTGTGTACGCGAGAGCTTAATATGCGTACAGTCGTTTGTTATTAATAAAGATCATCAATGGCTGCGAATAAGATTGTAAACCTTGGAAAGAGGCACCGTCATGGATGAAAAGCTTCGGCTCACGGACGCGATGGTCGATGACGTTTCAATGGGATAAGTCGGGACGCGAATTAATGATATAAATAAGCAAAATTATTATTAAAAAAAAATAATAATAAAGTTCGACAGTCATTGACAATGTATGGATGAAATAAAAAATAAAAAAAATTTCTTGTCGACCGTGACAGGACTCGAACCTGCAATCTTCGGATCCGAAGTCCGACGCCTTATCCGTTAGGCCACACGGTCTTGTTGGGGGTAGTTTTTTAGGGGTTGGTATTACAAGTTATTTTCACAGCATCCTTATTGATCTTCTTTACGTGGACCAATTAAAGAGCGCCATAGCTTTACCGGACGTCTGTGACGTCATTGACGATCTTAATCTCCAGTTTTTTCGCGTTGAATGCTGTAAAAACCGTATGGACCAAGTGGCTTGTATTTATTTCGGTCGAATCCAGATTATCCGGCCTCCATTGTACCGTAATGACAGACCATGAAAGCTAAAACGACGTAATGGGAGGAAGGCGTGTGTCGCGTTTTAAAGTTGTTTTAGAAAACGACGTGACATTAGCAGACATTGACAGACATCCTGTACTAAGTACTTGCTAAATGGCGGAGATGATCGTAAGTTTTAAACGTTTTCAACTATATCGTACGCGACAATTTAGCCTCTCTATCGTGCGGATATAAATGGTTCAAATTTTTTATTGTCAATTTTTCAATGCCACGATGATTCCGACTAAAATCATAAGAGAACATGAACCTTGAAAATTCCAAGTGACGAAATCCCACGTGTGCCACATACTTCGCGCTCTCGTATGCATATTCGTCGTCGCTTAACTCGTTCAAGCATAACGGAATCAGACCTTTGAACATATCGAACAATAACTTGAAAATCGATAAGGTTCAATGATCACTTGATTCCCGAGAGCCGCACCCGACGCGCGATACATTGCAGAAACCCATAATGGAAATTCCACGATAATTTTATCAATCAAAAAAATTTCCAATCACAAAATGAAGCTCGAAAAACAATCTGTATAGCAAATTCAAATTCATCATATACAAAAATCCAAATTCATCCTTTTACGACGATTCCGATTAACCAGACAAACTGACAATTAAATAAATCGAAATCGTCCCATCTTTCTATCACTTTTTTTCTTCTTCATCTCAGCTAAAATTATCCTTCGTCAAAATCAGAAAGCTATCGTGTCAATTGATCATGGACACCATCAGCGCCAAACTATACCAGTTTGGCAAACAGCAGCATGTGCTTTACAATATGTACACTGGTTATTGCTATGTTAATGTTAGTTATACAATGAGGTATGTGCCTAACCCAGATTCGATACTGTGTGGATAGTAAAACCGGCTCGCACAAATATATATATACGCACATATTTTTTTCATTCGTCCACCTACCAATAGCAATAGAAACATTTAAAAATGCCTATACCAATAAATTTCGAATTCTTCACCAGTGTAGTCTCTGTTTACACATTTTTCTCCCACATATCAACCATATACATACATACGCAAAGCAAAGATTTCACATGAGCACATGGTCCTCTCCACTCCCCCTCATGCCCCTCCACCCGCCAACCGAACAGAAAGAGAGAGATTCAGCACGGCCACGTAACATCCGCGCTTTTCAAACAAATGCAGCGAACCGTGCTACTGGGTATCATTAATTACTAACTGCTATATACGTTCAAAAAAAAAAAAAAAAAAAATTAATTCGAACGATCGAAATTTAATTACGTTGATCGGCGTACTGTATTTGTTGAGTGAAAATGAGTGATCTTTTTTTTTTACGAAACAAGTATGGATATATTATCGATATCCGATCGAACGTAGGGTGATTTATAGAGGCGAGAATAATTATCGATCTGTGACTAATTATGAGATTTGTAACATGACGAAAGACCGTAGTGTCTTTGCGTCTTGTATGAAAGTTGTATTTACTTCAGGGACGCGCAATACGCGCTCCTTGTAGTACTACGAGATGCGAAATATCGTGTTCTTGTGATTTGACGTTTATGCAGGAAGATAAGCATCCGATTGGGTCCGACCTAGAGAGGAGGTTTACCTTGCCGATCTGTGTTATACGAACCGATATGTATGATATATACGAACTAATAACAGATATATTGATTTATGTTAATATTCCTTCTATACATATTGGTATACGTGTTCTGGAACGACACGTGAACGGAGACTTTGAAAAAAAATAGCACACTGTGCTCTGTCGATTCGAAGGAGAAAGACAGAAGTGACAGACGTAATCCAGATAAGCAAATAGGACGGCAACCTGAACAAAGTTGATCGTCGTACAAAAACGTGGAAAATTGAAAAAAAAAAGTTTCCACATACTTAAAAAAGATACCGAGTCGATTCTCCCAATTTTGTATGATTTACGGGAAATTAAGGAACACGGAAACTGTTCTTCTCTCTTTACATCGGTTATCAGACTTTGCGAGTCAAAATATGATGGAAATTTTTTTTCTTCCTTAATTTCAATAACGACACATGCCAGGTTATTGAAATTAGTGTTTATCGCGAATGCAAAAATTATGGGCATTTATCTGAAAACTGATGTAAATTATAAAAGCAAAAATCATATGACATTTTTTTTTTATATTTCTAACATTTTATTTTCTTTCTGAATGGACTGAATGGACGAGTTAACACGTGTTACCATTTTTACGTTACGCAATGACGTTTAAGGATATGAAAATAAATTGCGAAAAAAAGTGTCGCATTTTTCAAAGTTTGTGATCCAAGATGTTTGAGAAAATATGTCAAGGGTTCCTAAAAAGGATCGAATAAGGTCACGATATATGATCGATTTAAAGCAGCTTATAATTATTATTCGTTTTGCTACTAAATAGTAATCCGCTCCAAGTTGCAGCGTAAATCCTTATGTTGATAGAATCTTCAAATCGATAATCAATTCGCACTGATTATAGAATCGTAAAAGAGAAAGAAAAACTCAAATTTGTGAATACTACAATAAAGCTCGTGTTTACCGTTTAAATACTTACTATCGATAGTCGAACAAATTATCATTAAGGTCAACAATTAAATGGCTAATAAGTCAAGCGATATGGGTCATTATTATAATTATGTATTGTGAGTGACTCCTGTAGCCGTAATGGTTTGTTATAGCGATCGTTGTATATCGTCGTAATTTACTAAACCTTGAACTTACGCTAAGCACACACAAAACCAACTTGCACGAGTAACCGCGTACAGACTGTATAATTAACACGGCAAAGTATACGTATTTGTCGTGAAAGTGTGGAAAAGATCAGCATTATTTTTTTTTTCGAGAAAAAAAATTTCAGAAAAAATTTATAAATTATACATGATTCAGGTATAGCAGCAGCGATGCTTACGATCGTGACGAAAAGGAAGTGAGTTTGTTGAGAAAAAAAAAGAATGGTAAAAATTATGCTTTTTCTTTTCCCAAAAATTGTTTTAATTCTCATTTTTGAGCCGAGGTCAATGGTACTTACAATCTGCGAATATATCCAGGGAGGATGACTGTATTCCGTGAGCTCGAGAAATGTGTCAGGGCCGGTGAGTTAAGTGGTCCTACGAGCACCGTATTTTTCACTGCGTATTATAACGATTACACGTATAGCGCCTCTTGTGATTCGAACTGTCATAGAATCCACAAACATGTGAATTTCTTTAAAGGGATCTTTTCCTTTTTGGAAAAGCAGTGATATCCTCTTGATTGAGCTTTTAACGATTAGTCAAGGATACGTGGACTGTCTGATTGTGAGTAAATTAGCCCGGAAAGTTGATGTACGCTATCCAAGAACAGTGAAAAGGATAAAAGTTTTCAAGGAAAGAAAAAGAGAATCAAAAAATGTTCAAACAAAAGGGTACATTAATTTTTCGATTTATACTTTTGTCACCTATAAATTTCCCAAAAAAACCTCGCCGTCGGAATCATCCGAAATTTGAGATACAAATGTAAATAGGGTTCGTCAACTTTTTTCGTTTTTAAAGAATCGTTTGATATGTCAGGACGATAAAGAACACTTCACTTTTCTCAACGAGATTTCCAACGATTTTCTCATTCCCGTGTATTTCGTTCAATCGTGCCGTACGACAAAAATCTTTCTTAAGCCGGAGAATTCGTTTCTATGATTAAAAAATCGCGTCGCGACGATTCTTAAAGGTTGATCCGCAAGAGACGGTGCGTAGAGATGAAGTGAGTGTCGGATCGTTGAAGCAACTAAAAGCTACCTGCCACCTCCCACTAACGACCATACACGGTCTAGTCTCGCACTTCGTTCATGTCCACGAACAAGAAAACTAATACGCCGTACTAGTAAGCAGTGCCGATAAATAATATTAGCATAGGGTAGTAGTGGGTAATCACGTCAAGTGATAATTCGCCCACTAAAAATAATACTGAATAAATAGTGAATCGTCCATTTGAATCACAGCAGACGTCACGTTTTCGTATATTGACAAGAAAACGCAAACAAGTTTGGCACGGTTTTTCGTAGAAAGACATAAAAAATTTATCAAATCGGTCACAACACACTTTCCTCGCACTGTATCTACTGATTGAACACAGCAGCCAACTTCATTTGGGTAAGTTTCCAAAGACAATGAAGAATTCAGATAAGAGAGAAGAAAAGCATAATGCTATGGGTCAGGGTAGGCGAACGGCTGAATTCGCGCTATTGGTCGTTGGGATGCGTTCGTAAAACGTACAAAGAAAAGATCAGTTTAACTCGCATCGAACGAACGGGTACGCGGACCATTCGTTATTTTTGTGCGTCATGCTTTTACGTCTCGATTGCGAACAACAACATTTTTCTAGTAATTTCAAATTTTGTTTGAACGGATCGTTAGCGAAGTTTATTAATGTCACTGCGATTGGTACGAAATATTCTACGTTCCAGCGCGTGCGCATGCGCGCCTGTCACTTTCGCCATAGTGGTACGTCGCGTGTTCCCTTCGTCGTAAGACCCAATGAGCCGATGACCTAACTTTAAGTCCGGTTCACATGCATCAAGCGTTCAGACCCGACGTCAATAGACAGGTTAAAATTAATCGTTAAATAATACTTATTCGTATATATTATTTCCCATTTTTATTCCTCTCTCCAAGCGCTGGGAATTACGTGTTTATCCACAAATCTCGGACGAATACCTGCTTCTTATATGGACGAAGCGACCACGATTACCATTGTGGACAATTAACGATTTTAGCATCGATAAATTTTTCGAGAAAATAAAAAAAAATTTATTTCTATTTCTCGAATATACCAGTTACGCATCGCGCCGTTTTCGAGTATATTTCTCAGCCGAAAGTTTCAAGTTAATTTTGATTTTGAATTCAATTTTTTTTTATCGTCCCATTTCAATTCCCAATGTATATTTTTTCGTCAATTTTATAAACATTTTTTATTTTTTATATATCACCAAAAAAACATCCCTCCACCATCGCCCTTTTTCGAATTCCTTCTTGACGATTGATCAACGTCGCGCAACAAGTATAATTAATCGTACGAGTTAAACGTATCAATAACATTAATGACGCCAAGTACACGTAGTCGCGATGCGTCCATTGTGATCGCATTGTACGAGAGAAGCCCGAACTATCACTTATAAGCGGCGCACGAAAAATGACCAATTGAACATGTGCACTGCGTCTTCTTCAGGAGCCATTAAGGCCCCCTTAAAAAATTGCCCTTGCCAAAGTTGCAACTGCGCGCAAGAATCCGAACAACGTACGCGTGACGACGACGACGATGATGAACAACGAGCGATCAGCGACAATGTATAATAAAAATAAAATGATTATCCTCCAAAAGTTCACGCACGCGCTTCATATATTTTCAACGGAAAATTTCATCATTTTAATCTTCTTCCATATAGCATATATGTCAAAGAGTCTTCCTTAAGATGTCCAGAAGATCAAACTCCGTGACATCGGACAAAGACAAATTTTCCCTATCGCGACTAGGAGTCCGCTTGGAACTGGGCGCAGCTATAGAAAATTTTTTTGACATGACAAATAATTCGTTGCCATATAAAATTGTCGTGCGACGACAAAGATTATCGATCGTATTGAATTTATTGGGAGTGACAAATGAAATTAATTATTTCGCGAGCTCATTCAACTCCAGACGAATGGGATGATATCTTAAGCAGATGCAACCGTATCCACGAGACGTCACGAGTGACAAAGCACGTATCCAGCAAGTGAGAGGAGAATCAAGATAGGACAAACAAAAGAGAAAGAAGAAAATTATTTTTTCAAAAATCGCCAAATTCAGAATTCGAAGATCGTGAAAAAAAAGAAAAGAGGACAGAAATTCTCATGAATGAACCGCTACGACTATGTTACACAAGTATCAGAAGTGCAATTACCTTCTTGCAATTCCACGCGAGTTACCGTTAACGCCGCATAAAACCACACTTGCTCACTAACAATTACCAACACTTTTATTCCCCATTAAAGTTCCAACTGAATCGCACAACTCCGCCCACTAAACAAGACACAAGCATAAATAGCACAGCTACTCGTTGAGCTATCGAATTGCAGCACAAAATTGTGATACGTGCAAAGGAATATTTCCAAAAAAAAAAAACCGGACAAAAAGATTTCACAATAAAAAAATACCAACCACCCCGTTAATAGTATGTTCCTAGATCGTAAAAAAAAAAATTTTCTTATTTTTCCGTCATAATAAAATAATCAACTTACTGTGTGCCGTTTGCCAAGTCTCGGGAAAGTTGCCCGTCAGGGAACAACCGAATAACAATGCCGAAGCTGCAAGCTTTTATACCAGAAGGAGCTCGACATTCCGTGATCCCCACCATAGCCCAAAGCGATCTCGTGTAAGAAGATCGAGCGAGAGAGAGAGAGAGAGAAACAAAGCTAAGCCAATATGAAAATGCCCAAAGGAACAAGACAGAGTCATAGACCATAGAAATCGTGTGAGGGGAAGCAACAAATCAAATGTTGATCCCGTTCGGGCATGAATTGTCAACCGTGTAGCACGATATATTACCCGTGACGCCTTTCTGTCAGAAAGTTAACCGATTTCACGTGTTATCGCGATAAGAAGATGTTGTATACCAAAAGGATGGACCTCCGTTGCGTAACCTGCAAACTACGCGTACAACGTACGCATACGAGAACATTAAGGCCGTATGGGTAAAACCGTACGTTAGCGGTACAGACAAAGTTGCCTGATTACGAAAAACCATAAGAAAATACTGAAATTCAAAATTGGCCAATTTGAAAAAAATGGGTAACAATTGCCAGTTGTGAGATTGGCGATAGCTTCATTTAGATCGCGATAAATTATCGATCGGACGCAATAATAATAATGATGACGATGAAAATTATTACATGAAATTATGGTCCGTGACGTCATGACGATTATTGACATTGACCCTGATACCGAATGAATTTTATTTATTCTTTGTTTCTCTCAAATTTATCGGTAAAATGTAAAATTTTTTTTCTCGCGGCGTGCTCCTTTTTTTTTTGTTTTGAATTTCGATTTCCACGCGACCGTTCGTACGAGCTGGCGGAAAAATGCTTAAGGCTTGGTGTTGATTTCTTACTGACAAGACTCGGTAATTGCCGTCTAAATTAATAGAAATGTTTTCTTTCCTAATTGCCGTTTCCATTAACTGATTAAGGAGGGACAGAGATCTCTTTTGCGCATCATCTTACACAGCTGCATGGATTACGGTTTCGCTCGGCGCGGATCTCGGTGCTTCGTACGGGATGGAATTTTGAAAAAAAAAATTTCAATTTGAACTTGGATTCTTTTTTACATAATTCGAGATAAGCCAAGGAAAGTTATGCTAATTGATAACAGAAAAAAATTTATATTGTATTTCAAGTACCCGAAGTCCAATCGGCCATGACTGACAGTCTCTTTGCTTAACGTATGTATGTAGATGGGAAATGGCACTTCTATCGTGACAGATGCCATTTGGTTTGAGCGATAACGCATCGGTCTCGTAAATGTGCATACGTTCTTTTTTCCAATACACGTTTTTTTCCTTCTCCCTCCCGCTAATATCAAAAATTTCCATGTGCTAATGATTTCAAGAATTACACACGTGCACGTTATGTAAAACGAATTTTAATTAGCGGATCGCGATTGCCAAACAAAAAGAAGCTTGCCGATCCGAAGACGACGTTAAAGAATTATGTATTTCAAGGATAACCAAAAAAATTGGATAGTCTCGATAAACAATGTTCTGTGAAATGTTCACGAAGAAAGAAAATTTTTTATGTGATAGTCGCGTTAATTTCGATAAAAAAAAAATTATTTTTCGAATCTTAGAGAAATTTCACCAATGCATATGTAACATATATGTATATGTGTCATCGTATTGACGTGACACTAGACCAATAAAAAAATAAAGTAAAGTCAAGCGCAAGTGCACAGAATAAAGATCCATTGCACCGACGCAACTTTCGGCGCCAATTTCAAAACGACCCGTTGTAAGATAATCAAAAAATTCGACTGACGTCACAATTCATTTGTCGGATCACGGATACCACTGAAACGGATAATAATAAAGGTTCAAGTGAACCTAAATTAATTTTTGCAAACCTGAAAATCGACACTCGAAAATGAAACCTTTAAGCGCGACGCATAATAAAAACGTTTCATACTGAATTTCAATTAGCATTTGTCAATAAAAAAAAAATCCCCACGTAGGATCAAGACGCCAGACGTCGTCGTCGTGGCGAACAGATGAAGATTGAATCAGAGCGACAGTGTTAATCGACGTAAACGACCTGTTGAATTGGTAAACGTCGCGACGTCAAACTGTTGGATACCAAAAAAAAGAAGTCGAAGAAGAAAAACGAAGAAATTACAATTTTTCAAAAATGACCCAAAAAATTTCCGCGCGAGAGATCTTTCGCGATTCGATCTTCGTTTTGAATAAAATTCGCCGATGTTAATTGCGTCGCGACGACGGCGTCGTTCATTCATAAATCTGCCGTCTAAAGGCAAACAATTATACCGTGCGTAACGAAGAGCAATAAATAAAGAGGCCGACGACATGTTTTGCCGCGTTTTCAACGAAACCATATACATACATATAAGCACATATACGTATGACTCGAAAAGCATGTATATCATTTTGTATAGAGTCGATGTATTATTGTTTTTAAATCAATCAAAGTCACATACGTAACTCTTACGCCTCCCCAATTTGAAAAA